TGCAAGCTCTACTCTGGCCGCTGGTCCACATTTTTTTATCCTTTATATTAAGTTTGCTTGCTTGCTTAGGACCGTGCAAATCTTTCGTTCGTTTTTAACCCATTTCCCGTGATCCAATCGAGCTGACATTTTCCACACAGACTCGTTGTGCGTGACAATTAATGTTCGTAAAAAATTTTTTCCAAAATTTTACACTTTTTAGGACAAAAATATTATATTTAATTACCAATTGCTTAATGCTGCCATGCAATCATCTGACCCATAGGTGGCAGCCATCTCAAGCCAGAGGACGAGAGGACTCTAGCCGCCACGCATATAAAGGATTTATAGTGAAAATTTTGTTTTTACGGGTTATACTTGTTAAGGAATGTGTACCTCTCTTTGTCAAGGGCGCACACATTTTCAGCTCTACCACCATCAGAAACAGTCGTGATGTCCCAGGATCAACATGCAGGAGAGGCGTTCCATTAACGCACCTCCGATTAGCACGGTTGGTTACGTACAGTACGAAAGAAGTTCAATATACTCACATTAAGGGTGTCTTTAAAATTGGTCAACTTTGGGGAAGTGTTTAAACTAGAAGAACATGGAATACAAAAATTATATATTTTAGCTGAGCATAAAACATACAATTGCTTCTCTTTCGGGCAGTGGAGGGAGGGACAGAGGGGAGAATCTGAGCTAAGAGCCACAGGTTAGGACAAGACCAGGGTCATGCCGGGTCATCTGGGATCTCATGGCACGGCTCAGGTTCTCGATTATAATTGTTGTAGAAATGCAGCACGAGGTGGGTTGCCTATAAGTGGCAATCAAGGGGTAGATATTGAAGCCAGATGGTGAGACCCTGGTAAGAGCAGAGCTTGGAGGATGGGAGTTAATTTTGCAACAGTCTCCCCGCACCTCAGATTAGCACGGATGGGTATGTAAGGTGCGTAAGAAGTCCAGCATACATACAGATGTGAGATCTGGCAAAAGGGGGCATTGGAAGGTGTGGTAACATCAATGGCTTTGGCTATGATAACCTCTTATGAATTATAATTGAAAGCATAGCATGTTTAAAATAGAATATCCCGTCACAAAAAAAATCTGAAATGCCCGAGTACATCTTGTGTCCTTGAAGCATAGTGTTAGATAATATCATAACTTAACATGTAAGACAAGTCTTCATCTCTAGAATAGAACAAACCAATGGTTCTAAAGAAACTAATTGGAGCTCATGTTGCTCTACAAAAGCCACTTTCTCAAACTTATATTTAGCAAAAGTGTAATAAAATAAATAACTATCTTAACTATGTTAATACTACAAAGTTACATACAATACTGCAATTACATACCCATCAACTGTTGTTAAAATCAACTGAAAGATTATTACATCAACGTCAGTCACCATATCTCGCATTTGCAAACCCAGGAATTAATTCCTTGTGATGTGAATATAATGTCTCCGTAGAGTTCTAGCTAAATTCATCTTTCATTTGATGATTTGTGCAAGGATTTTAATTAAGAATCAAGATAAATATTTCACGAGGATATTTCTTAAAGATGAGTTTGTGTTAATGGCCATTCCAGGGATTCTATGAAACATACCTCGATGATGAATGGCAATTGGGAGATTGCCGGGCCGGAGCAGCCTCCACTGCTGCAGTGCATGTTTAATTATAACTTAATTGCAGCTGATAGCTCAAGTTTATGAGTGAACGCAACGCATTTCCAGGAAGATGCAACTCAAAAACGCATCGCTCCTATTTCATCGATAGACTCGTGCGCAGGCTGTGTGTTCCAGGCTGTCCTGTGTAAGTTTGATGCTTCATTCGTGATATAAAACGAATCACATTGATACCAATTACTCAACTTTATGAATATGGCATAAGGGAAGGTTGGTGGTTTTGGAGGTTGGTGGATCATAAGTAGTTGCAGCAGCAGTGTTATATTATATTTTGTCATCTTCATTCATCATTAAATGCATATATCATGACCATTATATCATGTTGCTCTTCTTCCCTCGCACCTCCAATTAGCACGGTTGGTTACGTACATACAAACATTATCTTTTTTTATTACAACTATCATCATTGTCATCATCTTTTCCTCTTAACAGTTTCATCATCACCATTGTTGTTTTAGTAGCTTTAGGCCACAGATGTCGGATTGAATAAAAATCCCATTTTGAGAATGTGTGATAAAAAACGTCTCTCATCTGACTGAGTTGTATCTACAATATTAGCGACCATGCGAGTGGTGCATGGATCCTGTACGTTGGTCATGAGATGCTCACAGGATTCACATGTGACTTCAACATTATACGCATATACGTTAAAAATGATCTTCTGCTTTCAATTAGCTCTTACATCGTCTTAATTAAAGGTAACATATCTAGTGTATCAAAAACCTTGCATATTTTTTCTAATCTTGTGATATCTGTAATTCTTAAAGAGGTGGCAGTTCCACATTATATCCGTGGATGGAAATTTGCATTCTTCAATGATCTGCAACTGATGTTTTAACTATAATCTAGTTCACTGATGTTTTCATGAACACATCCTTTTACAGCTCAATTATCTGTTGACATACCTCTAACATCGTTATTGGTAATTCACTTCTTTCATAAGCTGTCACTTTCACAAAACATGCCCCCAATTGTAATTAAATTACATTATCTGATGAGGTATTGCTGATTGCCATTAGGCTGTATAAGGTGCACACATGAAAACAATGAACAGCTGTTCGTGTAAAATTATTCTTTGGTCTCAACTCGTTCATCACATCAATGCTACACTAGTACATTCATATACATTTTATTTTTAACACGTAGAGGGGAAAGTCACGTAGAAGGGAAAAAATAACCAAGAATATGAATCCCTGCAGTCACGAAAGCTTTAAATCGAAACCATAATACGTATTTTACTTCCTATGACTATATTGCATCTGTGCTCCTATAACACCATCTGCGGTCCCTTGAAATGAGTGCTCCACAACGATACGCACAGTAATTATACACTGTATGTCAGGTGCGATCACCAAGTGATCAGCTCATAAATAGTTTAGTGCCCAGACAGCATTGACGATAGCATGAGCGACCAAATGGCTGGCAATGCAGCAGACATTTGTTTTTATGGAACAAACACTTTCTTTTATTGGTCCTGGTGAATCCGCCCCATGAAGTCGTCTTGAATGGATGTTTTTAGCACTAAAATCGCTGTCCGCTGTGCACGCAGGCTAGGAACCCATTTATTGCTGTTTTTATCGCTAATAAATATCAACATTTATTAGCGACACGTAACTTGAAACGTGCAGTAGCTGTTGGAAGGCTTTGCTACCGTGGCAACGCAGCCCAGAGGGGAACAAAATCGGCAATTTGCACTGAGCCTCACATAAAAGAGGGTGTCCTCCCCCCCACAACTGGCCTGGTTTTGTCATTAATGAATAGTGGGGCCCCACATGGCATTCTGTTGGGTACATATGCAGAAGCAAACAAAGCAAAGAAGACCTACAGATTCCAACTCTGTCGTGGGAGAAAAACACAGTCGATGGTAAACTATTTAAATGAACTTTAATTGCTGAAAATAATGATTCAAGGTAGGATCTGCTTGTCTCTCTTGCATTCTGTCCTAGCTCTCACATCCCTGCCTGTTCGAGATAAGGGTGTGATGCCCATCACTTATTTGTACGAATTTTCATGCACTTTGTCCTGCCCCCTCCAACTATCGCAGACCGTGTGTGTATCATCACATGAAGCTTGCAAATTAAAAGGATACCACAGCACATCAGGACGTGTCTGTGAGCAGCCATTTTAATGTGTGGAACACAGTCGTTACCACAATAACATAATAATTTATGAGTGAGCTGAACCTTCAGCAGGGGGGTTTGTACCACCCCCCCCACCTCTCATGCCATGGAACTGCAATGAAGGAATACACTTGATGAAATGGAAATGTACCATGCATAATCTTTCGCCTGCATTTGGGAAATGCACTCACACCGAGGAACTGTATAACATTGTTATTTTTCACTTTAATCAAGCATGTGTGCCATAGATCACACCAACTCCAGAATCTTGAGTCTCACATCGAACACCTCTCTCCACAGATACCCACGCATTTGGCTTCAGGTCTATTGTACGACCGCTGATCCTACACGATAGGAAGGACCATAAACTGCCAGCCATTACACGTGGGAAAATCCGAGTACAGATAGTCCCCGAGTTACGACGGTCCGACTTATGATATTTCGATCTTACAATAGCGATACGACAAAATTATAAAATATTTTAAATTTCGCGCGGCAGGCAAACGCAGCAACGTACGAGGTACGATGCTGTACGTTGGGACGCTGCCGGGATGTACTGTATGCATCTCCCGCCTTGTGTGATGCAGATAGGATTGTTTCCTGAAAAACTTTCTATTAAATTGCAGTTCATATCGGTAGGCTAAGAATTTACCTTGTTTTTTTACTTTTCATTTTACTGTGCAATACAGTATTGTAATTAATAAATACACACAGTATATAGTTTATATAGTACGGTACTGTAACTTGCTCTGTTTTGCTAAATTATCACCATTCTTTAAGACTCCTGGGTAGGCTAGGCCATCTTAGACTTACGATATTTTTGACTTACGATGGGGTCGTCGTAACGCATCTCCATCGCAAGTAGAGGACTACCTGTACTGTACTCCTACCCCTTCAAAGAGATCTGGCCAGCATGGAAGTGTGGGCCAACATACCGTACAGAGGGGCTCTCTAGCGTGCCCTCCAGCGGAGACCCCTCCGTCTCTAGTGGCGTAGGCAAGTGATGGGGTCTCTTGAGGGGTTAGCAACCCAATACGTCTCACTCTTCTGCAAATGAAGACTCAACGCCAAGATTGCGGTGGAAATTAAGGCCTACTTATACAGTACCAAACATTATTTAAAAAATATCAAATGTACAATATACATCGACCCAGCAAGGCTCACCGAGTTTCAATTCTTCATTCAAAACAGCCACAATCTCAATGGCCACATACCTGTGATGAGGGCAATGAGAGACAGCGACAGCATTCCTTGCCAGTGGACTCCCATGTCTGTCTTGACAACCTCCACTCCAGGTGACAGAAGGCCTCAAGCACAGCTCCCTTCATTCGAGAACACAAAAGATAAACAAAGATCCTCTTTTCGATTTAAAGCTTTCGTGACTGCAGGGATTCATCAAGAAGAAAGATCCTCTTATAGCCATGTGTTGCACACTCGAAATGAAGGACGTGGGCAGGTGCTCCAAAGCGAGGGCAAACATATTTATTGTGATGCAACAGCACGTGTGTCACACAACAATCCTAAACAGAGTCGCAATTAACCATCTGACTGGCTTACAGGTCAGGTTACTCAATAACAGTTTCCCTTAAACTCAATTCTACTACTGATAACCATCTTTGTGTTTAATCATCGTTACACTTCACTATTCGAATAGTACCTTCATCCTAAGCTGTATGTCTATCTATATCATCCACTTATATTGAAACCTAACACCCATTATCTGTACTGTATATGTACTGTACTGTACTTGTCACCATTGTACAACTTACTCCTGTACATGTGTTCTATTCTTAATAGCATTGCAAGTAGTCCTACTCTGGGTGCATGGGCATGGTTATATAATAAACAGTATTCAAGACTAGAACATTTCTATAACTATCAAAACCAACATTTGGGTCCTTTACCTGTAAAATGCAACAGCAGGTGTGTCACACATAGTAATCGTCAATCGAGTCGCCATTAACCACGTGACTGGTGTACAGGTCAGGTGACTCAATAACCCTGCCAGCCAGCCACAGGCCCAACTCAGTTATCGCATGCTGGTGTACACACCTGCATTGATGTACTGCACAGCACATAAGGACCTTCACAAAACCACACTTTACTCCCTTGCTGCACGAGGAAATAATTAAAAGATTTGTCCATTCCTAATGTGCCACATATGCACTGTTGAAGCAAGTGGTG